ACACACACACACACACACACACACACACACACACACCCACACACACCACACACACACACACACACACACACACACACACACCCACACACCCACACACAACACACACACACAATTGGAGGTAGGTGGTGATAAGAGCAGCTCATTAATCAAGATCTTGAGACTAACATTATAGTCAAGATCAAACATATCTAAAGCTCATTGTGTTTAGACCCCTACTGGGTATCTATCTTTGTAGTGATATTATATTTCAACAGATAGTCAAAGTCTGTTGCGGGACTCGGTTAAACAGTTTGGTCTACATTTAAAATGACTAACAACAGTTTAAAGATTCCCACAGAAATGTTTTAAAACACATTTTCTCACCCAAAGTTTCAATTTCCATGTAGGAAACTCCTTGAAATGAAACGTAATTTATACTCATTGATCCAGAATCAAAGCGGGCCGTGGTTGATGGGAGTGGCTCAGCCGGAGGCCCGACAGCTGATCAGAATCAGGTAATAAGTCACTAAATAAAAGCTTGCTGGTAACCTGGTTCTGGTCTCTTTCAGTAGGGAGACCAGGGACAGTTGTAACACGGGTCGGTTGTAACACCTTCAATATCTCCAATCACAAACAAGCTAGAGTGATGAAACTCACTCTGCACATGCGCAGTTAGATGGTAAGATCGCTGAGAAAGAAAGGAGCCATGTTTGAATTTCTCGCGTAAGATATCAGCAAAGGTGTGTTTCTGAGGTAAAATATTAACTACAATTATATAATGTATTTTTTGGATACTGTCTTGAGTTCAAATGTCTAGGAATCCAAACTAGTATTATTAGAATCATTGTTTTGTAAGCTACAAATATAACTAGCTAAATATGGGTCAAGCTAGCAATCAGGCAGGTTCACAGGGGGTGGAAGCAAGACTGGGGGTCCTGGGACGGTTGTAACGGGACGGTTGTAACATGGCACATTTACAATGATGGCTCATTTGCTTGAATGATCAATTGTTCATTCAAGCATACAGTTGTATTGTTGGTTGGTGTGCATTGTCCCTGTAAAAATAAACAGAATATAATACTGTACAGTAGGCCTAAAGTGTGTGTGTGTGTGTGTGTGTGTGTGTGTGTGTGTGTGTGTGTGTGTGTGGTGTGTGTGTATGTGTGTGTGTGTGTGTGTGTGTGTGTGTGTGTGTGTGTGTGTGTGTGTGTGTGTGTGTGTGTGTGTTTACAGTATGCCAAATGTCAGAAAGAGGAAGACAGACAGGGGAGTGCCACTTGCTCTGCTGCAGAGGGCCTCAAATGCAGTTGAGAAGGGCAAATCATTCAGGGAAGTGGCAAAGTCCCTGGATATATGCCATGTCACCCTGTACCGGTTCCATAAGAGGAGGCTGAGGTTGGAGAGTCAGGGATCACAAACACCCCCAAGAGTAGGCCACTAGACACCAAAGAAGGTGTTCTCAACAGAGCAGGAGATGCTTTTGAGAGACTACCTGATGGAGGCAGCTGATTTATATTATGGTCTCAGCTCAAAGGAGGTAGGTCTACATCATTAAGGTAGAAGCACCTCTCAGAGAACAGTTTAATCCTTCACAGAGGATGATGATGCTGTGTGTGTTATCTGTTATCCTGTTCATTGCTCATTGTTTGTTGGAGGATGTGTGAAACCCCATTCAAATCTTGTTGCTTTAGAATTTGACAGCTTTCCCTATTCGTTGTCATGCAGTGTGAAAAAAGGTAACCGTTATTAACATGTTACAACCGTGCCTGGCATGTGCTACAACTGTCCCTGTACACAAGGACAGTTGTAACAGTTGAGTTTAAAAAAAACAAAACATTTTCCAACCTGTACTTATTTCATAAAAACATCTTAAATACATTGTTTCAGTAGCTGACATATTGATAATGTATAATATAGCAAAATGGCTATCCTATTGTAAATGGTTTTTTACTTATTGGGGAAAAGCCCAAAAAGTGTTGCAACTGTCCCTGGTCTCCCTACGGCTGGGTCCTGAGAGGACCGACCGACACAGAGCCGCCTCGCGGAATAGAGGAGGATTTTATTGTTAAATATTTTTTAGTTGTTCGGCCACCCGGATATTTTTGCAATAAACTTTGTTTGTTTTCACAATCCGCCTTCCATCATTTTAAACCCCAGTGTGAGCCAGAGCGCTCACACTAACATTATACATTTACAAGTTTAATGCTGTACACAGGATGTCTCCTAATGAAAATTCCCCCTCACATACTTGTACTGCTCAGTGGCCTGCATCACGATAAAGTCCCACTTGTGGTTCAGCCATTCATGGAGGTGGTTGTAATGTGCCTGTTTAAAAGACAGAGACAATCATGCTGCTGTGAGGGAAGAATCAAGAGACCATATGAAGTTCTTTCAGGAAGACTGGGTATACATGAATTCACTCCGCAGCTGCATAATTATAATCAGTTCATCACGGGCGTTCTCTTTAACCTATTACATTTCCCCTCAATCTCCAGCAGCCAATCAGCATGCTGCAGCCAAACTTTCAAATGGTTCTCCTCTCAGCTGTGATTTCAGGTGTTCATGCTGCAGCCTGCCTCCACCCCATCCACCTCCTTTCATCATATCCAGTGCAGAGCGAACCCAAGACCTCATCACACCTCCTCTTCATCTCCTCATCAAATCCAGATATTCAACATCAGCACCAGTGTCTAGACCCCGGGGGGGTTTCCTATATGCTCACGGCTGCCCTTCCCCCTTAAGCTATACGATATCAGGATCGGGGTCGAATCGGCAGCGGCGGAGGGTGTGTGTGTCTACAGAAGGTCCAGTTGTGATAGACACGGTTCGCCACTGCCATACATACACACACACACACACACACGACAGCAGCACATTTGTTACGCACCCACACACTCAGTCACTGTTATACTTGCTGTTAAACACAAACCTGTTCGTAGGGTTCCAGCATGCCTTTCTTGCGGATGTTCCTCTTTGCCAGGTAAATGGCTGCAGGCAGACAAACAAAAGATGTACGAAGTGTACAATTGATGTTATTAACCATAATCCGTTAGAAACCAGTTTCACATGATAGTTCAGTCTACAGAAAGGTTAGGGTTAGGGTTATCTTTCGGTAATAATACGACTGCACCCACCATAGTCAGAGTCCTCTGCAACCCATTTCTGTGTGGGCCAAAAGTATGGGGTCTGAAAGGGTTTAGATTAGAAAGTCAGCATTAGTAATCTTTGATAGATGTATGAATAACATTTGCATGAACACCTTAACATCTGATACACTGCATACTTGAGATCTTTGCTGTACACAAGATGAACATAGCAATATTATTATTTTGCTGTTAGCTTCAGGCTCGGCTACGGTCCAGTTTTATTTTCTTCCTACATTTCTTACATTCATTGTGCAACATCTGCTTGTAACACGGTTTGTGTATCATGAGCAGCTTTATGTTACAATGTAAGGTTTATATGGAACTATGGTGTGTTTTAACTGCAGATGGTTGTTCTGCTACAGAACACATGGAGCCAGTAGACTCTTATGACCAAAACAAAAAACACAGGCAGAGTAGACAGAACTGATTCATCACTAACCATGTTTTGAGTTGGGATTTAAATAAACTAAACGTAGTCTGGTCTCTGATTGTAGATGGGATTGAGTTCCATTTCTGTGCAGCTCTATCAGAAAATGAAGACTGACTGAAAGAACTGTTCCTGAGTGGAATAACGCAATCTCCTCTCGCTGCACCTCTTGTTATCCTAGTTGCAGTTGTGCGCATGATGATAAACTGTCTAAGAGGAGGTGAGGTTTCGGTTCGAAACATAATCTCAGCAAATCCGACGACTTCTCAGTTGCAGTGGGCGACATTATTGTCACAAGTAAGAAGGAAATGACATACCTAGGATCTATTCTTGAGGCAAACCTCTCCTGTGACAAAATGGCATCCAATGTAATAAAAAAAGTCAATCAAAGAACTAGATTCCTATACCGGATCTCCTCTCTGGTAAACAAAAACACCCTGAAAACTCTGGCAGGAGCACTCATTCAAGGGTACTATGACTATGCTTGCACGTCATGGTACCATAGCACCTCCAAGGCGCTACAAATAAAACTTCAAACATCGCAAAATAAACTGGTCAGACTACTGCTTGACCTTTCATCTAGAACCCACCTCACCTCTGCCCACTTTGACAACCTAGGATGGCTTAGAGTAGACGACAGAGTACAGCTACTTGCAATGGGCCTGGTCTACAAGATCCACTACACCTCTATGGTACCCATGTACATGTCAAAATTCTTCCCAAAGGTCAAGGAATACCATGATCATAACACCAGAGGGAGCTCCACAAATCATGTGAAACCCAGATTTGGCACAAAAAAGGGGGAATACACGTTTCGCAATTATGCCACATCAAGGTGGAACGCTCTTCCCACAACTGTAAAGGAAAGTAAAACTATACTTATCTTCAAAACCTCTCTTAAAGAGCACCTTCGGAGGAGAGCATTGCAAAACTGGCCCCGGTAATGGTTCAAATCTCAACCTGTCGTTCAATGGACAGCTTCCCCCCCCATCTATGTATATACTCGCATTTTAGACTCTGTTACTAACTGTATATCTGTAGACTTGGTATGTCTTAAATGTCCGGTTAGGATGTATTAGAACGAAATCTAAAATGAAAATTGTAAACAAGCAATCTGTATGTAAAAAACCACCTGTATGTAAATTGTAAATAAGCCATCTGTATGTCAAATATGTCTTATATGTCTTAAATTATATGATGAATTGGAAATGGGGGACCCTGATGTAAACAAGACGAAAGTCTTTCTCTGGTCTGCATCCCCTTAACAATTGTATGTTTTGAGCTGTACTGTACTGTACCCAATATACAAGCTGTTAATAAACTTTTCAATCAATCAGACAGTCTTGTTAAAAAAGGCAAGCTATACTATTTGAATCCTGTACCCTAATGTGTTTAAATGCAACAAGGATTCTTATAGGCACCAAAAGAAGAAGTGAGTACAGTACCTGGAAGCGGTAGAGGCTGGAGTCGTTGCACATCACCAGCTTCCTGTGGTTCTGCAGAGGGTAGATGTAGCCGTAGGCCACCAACATGGTGCCAAAGGCCTCACTCTCTGCACCACACAGGGGGGAGAAACTAATGATGAGGCAGCCAATGACATGTGGATAGGATACGTTTTTATTTAACCTATATTTAACCAGATAAAAGCATTGAGATAAAATCTCATTTTCAATGCCGACCTGGCCAAGAAGGCAGCAACGTTACACATAACACACACATATAAAATACAGAGAACATAACTAAGAAAACAAAAGACGAAAACGCAGGATACGTTTTAGATTTAAATTACTGACATGTGGAGTGACATGTTTTGAGAAACCAATCTTGGATTTGTATTGTAATATACCTTCTGTAGTGGACTTCATCTTGTTGGTAATCCATGCAATGATGTCTTTACCTGTGATGAAACAGAGAGAAGCTCACACACTGCACCTACTGCACACACTCCGGCTTTGTTTAGCATGTTAGCATGCTAACATTTGGCATTTTATAGCAACGTAAAGCATATGCTAATGGGAGTGTCATTAAGTTTTGGTCGGGATAAATGAAAGATAATTCATTGTTTGGGCAACTCTATAAATGTTATTCCAGACCTTGTATGTCATTGTGTGGCTAAACGTAGGCTATGCAGTGTTCCACCCTCAAAATAAAACGTTTGTCACATCATGTTGGTCCAGAACAACGTTGCATTGATAGACAGTTTGCCATAAAAGTGTTAGTATTATAATTTGTTGCCATGTAGTTATGCAAATAATTCTTCTATAAGCATTCTTTGAGAATGAAAATGATGAAGCCTATTTAAGGACATAACTGATGCACAAAGTGCCAGGTCACTTTAACTAACTGTTAATGAGCTGAATAGTTTGTGTTTGTTTTTTCTTTTCTGTATCGTGGTCATAATGCCCTCAATTTTTAATTAATATAATGAATAGTGATGTTTATGTGACTTTTTATGATGTATTGGAATAATTGTTTAATGTAGTTGGAAAAAGAAATAGGTTGTGTTTTGCAATCTTGAAAGACATCATGTTTAAAATAAAAACAATGGCAAAGGGAGAATTCCCAAACTAAGTTTCCAAGCAAAAGTATTATCTGTAGGTAAATGTTCCATATGTAATGGGTCACACAGGGCCTAAGTCTAAATGTAAAGTTCAATAATGTGTTTCCAACACCTTTAATTACTGTAAACTTGACAGAAAAGGACAGTGTAAAGCAAAGTGATTGTAGGGACGCTGGAGGGACAAAATACCAGGCAGCATCAGCCAGAGACATGACAACATGAATGAGTAATGTTGGGTAACAATCATTGGAGATGAATCACATTGCTTGGCTTCTGCACCACACATCATTTCCCCACCTGCTTCTCACAGTAGCAGGTGGGGGGGTTAGCCCATACTGTATATCCATGCTGACCTTTCCCTCGCTGCTCTTAGAATGGAGTGATAAGCCACTTAGGCTAAAGCACCTTCCAGATCTCATCCAATAATAAGCTGCTGTATTTAGCCTGTATTAGCAGCTTAGAAAGCAGGCAGCCAGTCAGTGTCTGCACTCACTCAGCATGATGGAGGGCCATCATGGCTGGCAGGTCAGTATATTAGAGTTTTACGTTCAACCAGTCATCTTCTGTCTTTTTCTCGGAAGTGACAATCATTACAATTTTAAAAGGATGTCACATTTAGGGATTGAACTAAATATGGTAAGAAAAAGCGTTTAATTACCATAATGGGGTCAGAATAATAATAATCATCAATATGTGTGAAAATATAAGTATGCTGTCTTTTAAATATTTGTATCTAGATTTAAAGAAAATAAATAAACAACCTTGATACATTATTTAAAAGTGGTATTAAATCTCCTTTTTACCTTTGAGTGTATGAGCCATACAACTAAATGATAAGTAAAATAAGGCTACTCATGCTGCTCAGTACAGCAGAGGGAAACTGCACTTTCTCCAACTGTAAGCATGCAGGTTGTACACAACCCTTTTATATCATGTCATTGCGAGCGCGTGTGTGTGTGTGTCAGGCTCACCAGTGATCACATGAGGGATGGTGGTGACGTTGAGTTTCTGTTCTGAGCCCTTCACCCCGCTCTGCATCTCCACCACCACGGCCTCCAGCTGAAACCAGAGCACCGGGACGTCAGCAGGAGACACTAACTCATGTTTCAGCTTCTTCTGTGAACTATAACTCAGTTGAAGTCCACAACAACAACAACAACAACAACAACAACAACAACAGGGAGGGCTTTTGTGTAGTTTGTTCAGTAATGTAGATTAAATGTTACACTGATATTGCTTGTTGCATTTCAGTGAGAAAGGTTTTTTATAGTAATTCAGGGTTTGATTGCTTTATTTTATTATTTGTGTGTGATCAAAATGCCATGATGTCATGGCTCTTTCTTTTTAAAGAAAATGCAGTTGGCATGCTACATTTTAGGTAGCCTCACTATAAAAAAGTGATGCACAAGACTGAGATTTGCCTGCGTTTTGGCATGTTTTTGTTTTTTATATTTGTTTCATCTCTGAAGCTGCATTGTGTTTCTCTTAATGAAAATGTTTGGTGCCATTGAGGCGTGTTTCTCGTGTCGGCCACCATAAAAATGTGTCAACTTTAAATTAAAAATGTAAAGGAACAGCAAGCAATAGGTAGGTCACAAAGTGTCAATACTTGTTCCACCTCGTGAAAACATGTACTGTAACTGTATATATCCTCCTGCCAGCTCACGTCTTGGAAATAATATCCTGCAGTGCTAACTGGACTCACTATCGCCTCTCGAGGAACACGCGATCAATACAAAACTAGTCAGAGCTTGAGTCAATTAGCATGCTAATTCCAGGATATCTCTTCAGCATATTGGATACACTTCTTTGACACAACGTCAACACTGTGAACTCTTCACATTGATAATGTTTGATCATTCTTTGGGCCATATATTGCACCTTCAACAATTAGGTTCCCAGGTAAACCAAGTGTTACAAATACAACTAGAGAATGCAATTCCTGAAGAAATTGCTAGTGGGAATGCTTTATGCTGAAAAGCTGACGCTAAACTGCTATGCTGAAATGTAATGTGTAAGAAGAAAGTGAATCATTTAGATTGAAATGATACATGAACACTGGGGGCTTGAATGTGTGATGAGAGAAGTGCAAACTTTTGAACTAACTTGATGGTGAACGATCTGTCGCCATGCCAATGGCATTTGATGACACCCCATAATACGCTTAGATGCGTTGATGGCTGCATCGTTACCAAACCTGTGAAGTCTTGGGCTGTTTGGAGCATTTTCACTGAAGTTATGAGAAAGTCATGTTTCATGGCGAGCATTGTGTTGCCATGGCAACGGAATTTGAAGAAATCTAAAAAGTAGCCGCTGAGGCACCCGTCAGCGAATCTTACGCATGGGTAAAATCAAGGTCCGAGCAAAAGCCGCTTTAGTGCAATTTATTATACACATATACAAGCATTTTTCTTCGTTCTTAGCCGATGGTAAAAAACCATAGGCCTACCGGGTGCGCCGCGCACTACCACCTGTTTCCCAGATTTATAATGAGCAGGTCTCCCATCCCCCGGTGCCCAAAGGCTGCCTTTACAAAACAGAGGCATGGTACAACTTATTTGACAAACTTAAGTAAGAATTAAAAGGAAGATTTACCATAAACAAAAAAGAACAATAAAATAAATAGATAACTATTAAATAATATAAGCTCCTATGGCTTCATCATTGACACAGATGTTTATATTTGAGCTAACGACGTGTCCAGAGATCAGAGGTTTCCATGGTGAGAGCATTTTCATAGTTCTGAATGAGAGATAAACCTCTTAAATGTGAACGTTTTGTTAAAGAACCGTAACAGATATCTGTGAAATTTCAAAGCGTGAAGCATGTCAAGGAACTTGAGCATCTGAAGTGTGCTTTTTGTGTACTTTCGGGTTAATAATGTGGCCTTTTTGGCAGATTAACTAAAGGTGTGCGGCTGCTGTGGTGGTGGGGATGAGGCTGAACTTACAATGGGGTTTAATGGAGACATATTGAAAGTTTTTGTCACTTCATACCCTCAAGAAGTATTTTGTTTAATTGTTTTGCTTAATCTTTTTTTATCTTTCAAGCTATGAGATGTTTTCCTACGTTCGTCATGAAAAATTATGTCTCAGGAATGTAGGGTTTGGGAATTATGGCAAGTTTAAAAGAAAATATGAAGGCAAAATTAAATCTGTCCTCCACTGTGACATCACGCACTCTAAAATCTGAAGAAGGCCTCTTTACCAAGGTCTGAACAATGTTTAATATCTCTAAAAGTAAGAATTAGATTTAAAAGTTGTGTTACACAAATAATGTCAGAAGGATGTGTAACATTTTAAAGTTGGAATGAGGTTTCTGAGTGAAAGTATGAAGTAGAAGTTAGCAGTTGAAGTTGCATGAAGATTGTTGAAGTCTGAAGAATTTCTCCATTGACTTCAATGTTAAAAATGGGATGTATTATGGGATGTATCTCTGGAATTATGAAAGTTATGAATGAGAAAAGTAATAGCCATCGATTCCCGACCGAGCTGAACGTTTTGATGTTTGAACGGAGTTTCTGCGATGTTCAATGTGGGAGAAGAAGAGGCGCAAAATAACCCGGCGGAATAATAAATAATTTCGTGCTTAGCATAACAGATAGTTGCTGCTGTGTCAGCATTCCCACTAAAATATACATTTAAAAAAAGAAAAAAGTCATACTACATATAAAAGTACAGTTTACACATACAGACACATTGTCTGCTACACATATAGACAACTACATAACACATACGCAGCGTCCACACGGCGGCGTGCGTTGAAGCTTGCAGGTGGGCGTGTTTGAAACTCGACCAACAACCAATCACATGAATCTCCCGCCCCGGACACAAGGGCACGCGGTTTGATTCGCTAGAGCTTGTACTGGCATATGATTTGATTGGCTGACGCTTCCGTCGAAGCTTCAAAAGTTGAACATTGCTCAACTTTTGAAGCGAGCAACGCGAGCAATGCGTAGAGACGCTCCCACAATGCAGTTTGGCGAAGCGTCACGTCACCCCATTCAAAGTGAATGGGATGAAGCGCTGAAGCTTCAACGCACGCCGCCGTGTGGACGGGCCGATATTGGGAATGGAAAAGATACTAGTAAATCATACAGTGTCATGCAATGATGTGTGTTCCAACATAGACAAAGTTCAGCACACATTGATTTATAACTCTTTTGTGATTTCTTTGATGTAATTAATTACATTCCACATGTAATTTACAATGTTCTCTATTTGTCTGCCTCAATCAAATAGAGAAATGGTTATGGTTTTTCTGTTAAGGTTTTGGCCCTGATCTGTCCTTTGCCTCCAACTCTTAGTGGGTTTGAAGCTGATAACTGGAGTGTTCCAGGGAAGGTGTAGCCTGTGTTTCCCCTGCAGAGACACCTGGCACAAAGCAGCAAAGTCAATTGGCTTTAAAGTGCAATGAGAGATGATCTTTAACAAGCCCTTGCTCTTTTGGTGGCAAACAAATCATATGTTAAAACAAATTCATAAAAATGTTACTAATTGAGATCTGTCTTTTGACTGGACAAAGGAAAAACAATGTTTACTGACAACAAATTGAGTAGGGTAAAGTTACTAAAAAGCTCATTGTTCCTATACTGTTTTTCTTTCTTTCTCATCATCTGTGCTTCATATTATTTTACCTCAATAAAAGCTCAATTCAGCATAATCCAGAATTTAAACTTTAAAATCATTTAAAAATAGATGATGAATGAAATTTCCAATAAACTATCATGAATAAAATGCCAGCAGCAAGCGCACAATAAACCAGTAATGCTGAGGATGTCCACCCACCTTTTTAAGGCAGTGCATGCGGGGACGGAAATGTTGCACCCGGTCTGGACGGGCTCTTCTTATTGTCATATTTACAGAAGGCTGATGACCAAATTAGATGTAAAAAAAAAGGTTTAATCCTGGTGTAAAGAATGTGGTAATATCTGCAGTTGCTGAAGAGAAGGTGCATGAAGAACACTTGAACACACTGTGAGGGGATTAAAGGAACAGGATGGGGAGAAAGGACTTATCCACCAATGAGCTGTGGGAAGCCTCTGCCCCAGCAGGAAATAGAGAAAGCTGCCCTAGTGGTTCTTAAATGAATGTTTTGTTAAATAATCAGAGCTGATCATTTAGTTTAGCTGGCTGTGCAAGTAAGCTGTCGAACAATCATTTGAATAAACATTTCATAAAACATTTTCTTTTTGCATTTGCCTATAAAGTGTATTATAGTAAAGCCTGGATGCCTTACTAAGACAATAGTCTGCTGGCTGTAGAGCGTTCTATTCCCTTCAGGCTACAGACAGCTGAGTGGTATCAGCAACAAAGAGAATTTGGCTTATTTGCCAAAATATTAAACAATCCTTTAATAGGCTTATTTTCTTATATCTTTAAAGCAGTGGCAAATCTAGAACACTTCACAAGGGGTGGCAAGAGGTTTTTTTGCAGGGGGGCAAGGGAGGATGGAGAATCCACTACGCAAAACTCTCAAACACAAAAATACATTTCAACGATTTATTAATATTATCACAAAAGGAAAATGCCCAGTAATCCACGAGACTGTGCAGCTTTACAAAAGTAAAAATTAAAATATATTAAAAAGAATTACAATTTGTTGTTTTGTTTTTGTAGTTGATATATATAAAAACAGCAGGCAAAATAAAAGTACGCTAACTTTTGCCTAGTACAGTAAAATTCCTTTAAGTCCACAGACATAAAGACATCACCTGTCTATTTTAAGATAGCTTAAGGCGATGGTTGTTGTGCTGTGCAGGAAAACGTTTGACAAAAATATCCATGTCAAGTGCTTTCTATCTCTAGATTCCTCAGTCGGTCATCTGCCATGGTTAAGTGCAGGGGGAAAGCTTCGCTCACACCAAGCAGTACTCAGTGGCAAAACAACAGCAATCTTGCATAAGTGAAACCGTTCGAAGAAAAGCTCTCGGAAAAGCTCTCGGAAAGGTTCCAAGAACTTCACAAACTCAGTCAGGACGGGTTGACTTTGCCATTTGTTCTGTTCCTTTCTAGAAGTATCTCAGTTTAAAGTCTGGCCAGTCAGAGCCATATGCCTCAGCCACCAATAAAACCAATGATTGCTTTAAGAAGCCATTGTTTGACGGGTTTAAAGGTTGTATACCCTGCTTTACAGGTCTTACAGGTCTTACAGGTCTCAGCACTCAAGCCTGCATTAATATAGGCACGGCCAGTCTATTGATGGCGTGAAGTACAACCGCGTGACTCAGTCATTTTGTACCTTAAAAAGCATTTAAATACCGCATTTAAAATCTGATGAACTCAGTGTGCATCTGGACCCGGTGACGACATTACCTATTGACGCAGCAACGACTGTAAGTTATATTCTTGTTTAATTAGACTTCTCTGTTTCATTTATTCGACTCTGTATAAATTGTTATTGTAGCGTAAACGGCTAAATCGCGTTTGAGAGATTTTAAATCTCAGATCTGCTCAGGCGAAACCTGCTTTACAGGTCTCAGCACTCAAGCCTGCATTAATATAGGCATGGCCAGTCTATTGTCGCCCATCAGCTGTAGATAGTTAACTAATTAGATGGGCGTGGCCCTACAGCTGTGAGAACTGAGCAATCAGGCGTCCATTTCGGGTAGCTTTTTCCTGGAGCGTCAGCTTCAGCGTCAGACAGCCGAAGACTGACAAAGACATTGGAGTCCTGCGGGAGTAAGACTGACAAAGACATTGGAGTCCTGCGGGAGTCACGAGGGAGGCAAAGAGGAGGCAAATCCTACTCTGATCGAGCTGGTGTCTTATTTCTCTTTTCTTTAGTTTTCTAGCCCCGCATGCTATAATCATGTGTATTTTCTCTATTCCTGTTCATGTGTCTTCTCGCAATTATCACTGGCCCCGTGTATCTCCTAATCGATATAACCGGCCTGCTCTCGTCTATCCCACGTGCTCCACTGAGATCCAACATCTAGTTTCTGGTGGCCTGTGGAACTGCCAGTCAGCTGTTCCTAAGGCTGACTTCATCTCTGGCTACGCCTCCCTGCAGTCTCTGGATTTCCTTGCTCTCACTGAGACCTGGATTACTCCATCCAACACATCCACCCCAGCAGCTCTCTCCACTGCATATTCCTTCTCCCATACACCCAGACCCACTGGCAGAGGAGGTGGCACTGGTCTCCTGCTCTCTCCCAAATGGAGCTTTTCCCTCTTCAAGCTACCTAACTTCACTCCTTCCACCTTTGAATTCCATGCCGTCACAGTAACCCATCCTATACAGTTAACCATTGTTGTTCTCTATCGTCCACCAGGCGCCTTGGGGGACTTCTTGGAGGAATTAGATAATCTCCTCTCACTCATCCCTGAAACTGGCCCTCCCGCTGTACTTCTCGGAGACTTCAACCTCCAGACGGGGAAGATAGACGAACTAACATCTCTGTTAACCGCCTTTGCTTTCTCACTGTCTCCGTCCCCACCGACTCATAAAGCTGGCAATGTCCTTGATCTCATATTCTCAAGGAACTGCGCTACTTCTAACCTCTCTGTAAACCCGCTCCACACATCCGATCACTTCTTCATTTAATTCTCTCTATCCCTTTCCAAACATAACAAACTAATCTCTTCTCATCCTGCACTTGTCCGCTGTAACCTTCGCTCCCTCTCCCCCTCTAGCTTTGCCTCGTCGGTGCTCTCAGCCCTCCCTTCCTTTGATTCGTTCCATCTCCTGCCTCAAACTCTGCTGCAGAAACTCTCCTCTCTACTCTCTCATCCACTCTGGACTCGCTCTGTCCTCTCACATCTCGGCAGGCTCGTCAGTCCCCTCCTGCTCCCTGGCTAAATGATGCACTGCGTGCTAATAGAACCGTCCTTAGGGCAGCAGAGCGGAAATGGTGGAAATCCAAACACCGTGACGACCTCCTAACCTATCAGGCTCTCCTCTCCTCTTTCTCTGCTTCGATCTCTCAGGCAAAAAGCACTTCCTTTCAAGATAAGATCCAATCTTCCTATTCCAATCCTAAAAAACTATTTTCCATCTTCTCCACCCTCTTGGACCCTCCAAAAGCTCCTCCCCCCTCCTCACTTCTGTCAAGCGACTTTGTTACCCACTTTGAAAAAAAGGTTGATGATATTCGCTCTTCTTTTTCTGACTTACCTTTACTCACCGCTGGGTCACCAGACCCTCCTTCCACCAACACACTTACCTCCTTTTCCCCTCTCTCTCCAAGTGAGGTTCTTACCCTCATTACCTCTGCCCGCCCTACCACCTGTCCTCTGGACCCTATCCCTTCAAACCTCCTTCAGACTATCGCTCCTGATATTCTACCGTTTCTCACCCATTTCATCAACACTTCTCTAACTTCTGGTCACTTTCCAAACAGTCTCAAGGAGGCAAGAGTAAACCCTCTCCTAAAGAAACCCACTCTCAACCCGTCTGATGTTATAAACTACAGGCCTGTCTCTCTCCTCCCGTTCCTGTCTAAATCACTTGAACGCGCTGTCTTTAAACAACTCTCCTGTTATCTCAATCAGAACAACCTTCTGGATCCGCACCAGTCTGGTTTCAAGGCAGGTCACTCCACAGAAACTGCTCTCATTGCTGTCACGGAGGAACTGCACACTGCCAAAACTGCATCCCTCTCCTCTGTCATCATCCTATTGGACCTGTCTGCTGCATTCGACACTGGTGAATCATCAGATCCTCCTTCGCACTCTCCAAAAACTTGGAGTTTCAGGCTCTGCACTTTCCCTCCTCACCTCATACCTGAAAGACCGTACCTACAGGGTGACTTGGAGAGGGTCTGAGTCCGACCCTTGTCAATTAACTACGGGGGTCCCTCAGGGCTCTGTTCTTGGTCCCCTCCTCTTCTCCCTGTACACAAACTCGCTCGGATCAGTCATTAGCCCGCATGGTTTTTCTTACCACTGCTACGCTGATGACACCCAATTAATTCTGTCCTTTCCCCGCTCAGAGACCCAGGTCGTTGCACGCATCTCTGCTTGTCTAGCTGACATCTCTCAGTGGATGTCTGCTCACCACCTCAAGCTCAACCTTGACAAGACTGGGCTGCTCTTCCTCCCGGGAAAAGATTGTCCCACTCTTGACCTAACAATCAACATCGGCACCTCAGTTGTTTTCCCCGACTCAGGACTGCAAGGAATCTGGGTGTGACCCTAGATAACAACCTGTCCTTCACTGCAAACATCGCTGCTACAACCCGTTGCTGCAGATACACGCTTTACAACATCAGGAAGATACGTCCCCAGCTGACTCAGAAAGCGACTCAGGTTCTGGTCCAGGCTCTCGTCATCTCACGCCTAGACTACTGCAACTCCCTCCTGGCTGGTCTACCTGCATGTGCCATCCGACCTCTGCAGCTCATCCAGAATGCAGCGGCTCGTCTGGTCTTCAACCTTCCTAAATTCTCCCACACCACTCCGCTCCTCCGCTCCCTTCACTGGCTTCCGGTAACTGCTAGAATCCACTTCAAGACACTGGTACTTGCTTACCATGCTGCGAATGGATCTGGCCCTTCCTACATCCAGGACATGGTTAAACCATACACCCCAGCGCGTGCACTACGCTCTGCATCAGCCAAACGACTCGTTGCGCCCCTCGCTGCGAGGGGGACCCAAGTTCCCATCGGCGCAAACACGTGGGTTTGCTGTCCTGGCTCCAAGATGGTGGAATGAGCTCCCCATTGACATCAGGACGGCAGATAGCTTGCACATCTTCCGGCGCAAACTGAAAACTCATCTCTTTCGACTCCACTTCGAGCGTTTAACGAAGCACTTTTATACTAATAAAGGACTGGCTTACCTAGAGCCAGTTGAGTAGCACTTGAAATGTTTGGCTCTATGAAACCTGATGTACTTATATGATTCTGTTTTCTTCA